GTTGTGTCCCACAATAATGAAGACAGACTGTATTAAAGGATATGGGGCGCTGGTCCACGTTAATCACAGCGCCCCTCCCCCAGGCACGTTCAGCATCACCTGGGAAGTCTCCCGCCAACCCACGGTTCCTCCAGTAGAAAAGAGCGCCCAGGGTGGACACACAGACCCTCAACGCCAGGGTCACTTTTTAGGGCCCCCACTCTGGTCTCCCCACACAGGGGTTATGGGGGAATCTAATTGTGATGGAGAAGTGGGGTGGGTCTCGCAACAACCAGCGCTCAGGTCTTGGCAGACTGAGCTCCTACCTGCAGCGCCCAAGTTGTAGTTCCACCAGCAGCCTCGTTCGTCTCAGAGTCAAGATGGTGGTGCGGTCTGGCCGAGGAGCTCGGTGCGCGCCTGTCTGCCGGATTTGGGTCCTCACCCTTGATGGCCTTGGAGCCTGGCCTGCTTCTGTGCAGGCAAGGGAGCTGAGTCACAGTCCTGGTCCCACTGCTGAGTGCAGCTGCAGGGCCGGCTGCAGAGTCACTGCCGGGCCCACTGCTGAGTGCAGCTCCCGGCCTGCCTGACCGGAAAGCCTGGATGGAGCCCCTGGAAGCGGCACAGCCCAGCGCTGCTCAGAGAGCAGGGCAGGCAGAGCTGATGGTCCTCAGAGCAGAGCCAGCGGCACCCTTAGGCCAGGGAACTTGAGGAGTTGGGTTATGGCGAGACCATAAGCAACGAGCCTTCCCGAGCTTGAAAGTTTCCCTGCTCCGTCTGGCAGGGGAGCCAACTTAAAGCCTCGCTCACTGCTGCATGCAGCTCCCGGCTGCGCAGGACTGGGAAGTCTGACTAGGAACACCTGGGAGGCTGCTTGGGGCTGGCCCACCTGCTCGGCCCAGGCAGGGGAGCTAATTCATCATCCCACCCACTGCTGAGTGCAGCTCTTGGCCCCATCTAACCAGAAAGCCTAGTGGAAACACCTGGAAGCTGTGTGACCCAGCAACACCCAAGCAGAGGCTACTGCAGGCAGAGCTAGTCATCCCCAGAGCCAAGCCAGCGGCATCGTTGAGACAGGGAGCTTGAAGAGCAGCTCAGCCCTAGTTAAGACCACAGTCCAAGAGCCTTTCTGAGCTGGAGTTCATTCCCCTGCTCCGCCCAGGCAGGGGAGCTAATTAACAGCCCCACCCACCGATGAGTGGGGCTCCCAGGCCCCTCCGGACCAGAAAGCCCGATTGGGAGCACCCGGGAGGCCGCGCGGGGCTAATTGGTAGCCCCGCCCACTGTTGCGTGGCTCCAGACCCTGCCGGACTAGACAGCCTCGCCAGAACGCCTGGAAGGGAAAAGCAAAACGTATCCTGAGACAAGCGAAAATGGAAACACAGCATACCAAACCTTATGAGATGCAGCAAAAGCAGTTCTAAGAGGAAAGTTTATAGGGGTAAATACGGAAATTAAGAAACAAGAAAGATCTCAAGTAAACAGCCTTACTCTGTGCCTCCTATGCCCCAAGGAACTAGCTGAGCCCGAAGTTACCAGAAGGAAAAAAATAATAAGAAATAGAGCAGAAATGAATGAAACAGAGAACAGGAAAACAATAGAAAAGATTTTTTAAAAACCTAAGAGTTAGTTCTTCCAAAAAAAAAAAAAAAAAGACAAACCTTTAGCTAGACTAGCCAAGGGAAAAATGGAGAGGACGCCAATCAACAAAATTATAAATGCAAAAGGGGACATTACAGCTGGTACTACAGAAATGGAAAGGATCCGGAGAGGCTGTTATGAACAACTATACTGCATCAAACTGGACAACCAAGAAGACACTGAAAAAATTTAAAAACACACAACCTACCAAGACTGAATCAGGAAGATACAGAGAATCTGACCAGACCAGTGACTAGATAGGAGATTGAATCAGTAATCAAAAATCTCTCCCAAAAGAAAAACCCAGGACTAGATGGCTTCCCTGTGAATTTTCCCAAATATTTAAGGAAGAACTAACACCAGTCCTTCACAAACTCATCCAAAATATCAAAGAGGAGGAAACACTCTCAAACTCATTACCCTGATACCAAAGCCAGAAAAGGACACTACAAGAGAGAAAACTGCAGACCAATATCCTTGATGGATGTAGATATGAAAAACTCAATGAAATACTAGTAACCAAATTCAGCAGCACATTAAAGGGATCATAAACCTTGATCAAACAGGATTTAGCTCTGGGATGCAAGAATAGTTTAACATACGCAAATAAATACATCATATTAACAGAATGAAAGAAAAAATTACACGATCAGCTCAATAGATGCAGAAAAAGCATTTGACAAAATTCAACATCTGTTCATAATAAAAACTCTTAACAAGATGGGTCTAGAAGAAACGTACCTCAATATACTGAAGGACATGTATGACAAACCCACAGCTAAGGTCATACTCAGTAGTGAAAAGCTGAAAGCTTTCCACTAAGATCAGGAACAAGACAAGGGCTCCCACTTTAACTACCCCTGTTTAACAGGACTACTGGAAGTCCTAGCCAGAGCAATAAGGCAGCAAAAATAAAAGGCATTACAACTGGAAAGGAAGAAGACAAGTTTACCCTATTTGCAGATGACATGATTCTATACATTAAAAAAATCCTAGACTCCACCAAAAACTGTTAGATCAAATCAATGAATTCAGTAAAGTCACAGGATACAAAATTACTGCACAAAAATTAGTAGTGTTTCTATACACTAATGATGAATTAACTAATAAAGAAAAATATACCATTCACAATAGCATCAAACAGTAAAATACTTAATAAATTTAACCAACTAAGTGAAAGACCCATATATTGAAAACTATAAGATGCTGATAAAAGAAATAAAAGAAGACACAAATAAATGAATAGGTATTCTGCATTCGTGTACTGGAAGAATTACTACTGTTGAAATGTCCATGCTACTGTAAGCCATCTACAGATTCAGTGCAATCCCTATTAAGATTCCAATGATATTTTGTACAGAAGTAAACAATCCTAAAATTCATCTGGAACCACAAATGATCCCGATCAGCCAAAACAATCCTGAACAAAGAAAAGTGATCTGGAGCCAGGATCAGGTAACAGCTTGGTTAGCATGCTAAAAATTTTAGATCCTATAGCTAAAGAATTCTGAGAATTTTTTATTCTTGGTTTTCTGGTTACTATTGCTGTGTAATAAACTCCCCTCAAATGTAAGGGCTTAAAATGACCATTTTATGGTTGTCATGGATTCTGAGGGTCAGAACTTTAGTCTGGACATGGTGGGGATGACTTGATGCCATCCACAGGGCGTGGGACCTGCTGGGAGACTCAATGGCTGGAGGCTGACACCATGAGAAGGCTCCTTGACTCACATCTATGGCCTCTGCATTGGGTTGATGGAAGATTATGGCAGCTGACCAGAGCACCCACAGATGGCCGCTCCATGTGGCCTGGCTTCCTTGGAGCATGGTGGTCTCAGGGTGGGGAGACTTCTCAAAAGGTGGTGCAAGGCTCCAAGCTCATGTGTTCCTGTGAACCTAGAAGAAGCTGCATCACCCTTCTGACTCAGCCCTGAGTCACACAGCATCACTTCCACAGTACCCTATTGGCTGAAGCAGTCGCGAGCTTGCCCAATTCAAGGGGAGAGTGACTCCACCTCTAGATGGGGAGGGTGGGAATGTCACGGTCACATTACAAAGAACATATGTCATGGTGGAGATAGTTGTTGTCATCCTGGGAGAAAAGCATGCTCGAAATAAGTATTTCAGGAGAGGAAGGGATGGGTTTTCCTCACAGGAAGAGGGAAAAGTTAGTATAGTGGGAAGTGTTCTGCATCCCAAATGCTGTGTTCAAATTTTAGATCCGTCCCTCCAATTCTAATTGTATAGCTTTGGACAGATTATTTCATTTTTCTGGCTGCAGTTTTTTTTTTTAATCTGACAAGTGGATGATAAATTTAAATCTCTTAAAAAAAATTATTTGATTTTTAAAGAAACTCAGCTGGGGAAAAGATTACGTGATCAATGAGTAACCACTGGGTATGTAACTTAAATAAGAAAGAATAGAGGTTTCTAAGGAAGACAAAATAGAAAATATAGAAAAAACAAAAACCAAAAACAATGGGGATCAAGTGGAATGAAGAGATGTTTGGGTTTATAGTCATTACATTTCTATGGCTAAAGAGACCATTGGAAACATGTTAATCTAATCTTTATCATTTTATAGTAAGAAAACCAAGGCCCAGAGAAGTGAAGTGAATGAGGGAAGAAAATATATTTAGAGAATTTATAGATAAAAGAATCGTTTACATTCACTTCAGATCTAATTTTTATGCTTGCATTAGAAAAATAAATGAATATCTGAAGAAATTTAACATTATCCTTTTAAATGAGTTAAATTTATAGAAATGCACAGTAAGTTTTTTTGTCTTGGCCTTTTTAGGGCTATTGAAGGCATGTGACAGGGATCTGTTAAAAATACAGGGTTAAATTATTTGATTAGGGCTGCTATTCCTAAGAGTTTTAAGTCCATATAAAAATAGAAAAAATATATTAAAACATAGAACAAATTTAGTGAAACTTTCTAACTGAAAATATAAAAAGCCAAACTAAGAGAGTTTTAAGTAGACAGTGACTTAAGTCACATTACCCATTTCTTTTGCAATTACTTGTTTACTTTTCAGTATAAACCAGTAGCGAAGTATAGGCATTAGGTTGTTTCCACATCTTGGCTGTTGTGGATAACGCTGCAATGAACATGGGACTGCAGATATCTCTTTGAGATAGATTTCATTTCCTTTGGATAGATATCCAGACATGTGATTGCTGGATCTTATGGTAATTCTGTTTTTAATTGTGGAACCTCCATACTGTCCTCCATAGTGGCTGTACCAATTTACATTCCCACCAACAAGGCACAAGGGTTCGTCCATTTTTAAAATTGATAAATTCCAACTGAAACTGGCCAAATAAACCCTACTCAGAAGTCTGGTGGGCTCAGTTTGTTTCTCTGTCACGAGGCCAAATCCAAATGCCAGCAAGGGGTGTTCCTTTCTGGAGGCTCTGGCAGTAAATTCACTTCCAAGCTCATTTGTGTTATTATCAAAACTCAAATGTAATTGTAAGACTGAAGTCCCTGTTTCCTTGCTGACTGTTGACCAGGGGTCATTGTCAGTTTGGAGAGGCCCCTTGAACTCCTGGTCTTGTAGCCCCCTTTCTCCATCTTCAAGGCCAGTCATGGCTGGTTAAGTCCTTCTCACACTTTAGATCTCTCTCACTTCTTTTTCTGCATCATCTCTTCTGCCTGTTCCTTGTAGAATTTTATATTTTAAGTAGATGCAGCATATTTTTATAAGTTATATCTCAATAAAGTTAATTTAAAATATATCCCAGTAAAGGCTTATATATCTGTAAGACCAAATATGATACTTAAGGAACATAATGTTAAAATAAAGTAAGCCAATAAAAATTCAACAACTTGAGAAAATATTTAGGAGTTGAATTTTTGAATTGTCTTATTTATAGTTTGTCTCTTTTTGGTTTTTTAAAATTGGCTTCTGTTAAAAATACTTCCTTGTGAGGGAAATTTTGGGGTAATCAAATGTTTTGCATCACAGCTATGGTGGTGAACCCAAAAGTCTATGCATTGCCAAAACCCAGAAAGTATACAAAGAGGAAATTTTACTGTCTGTAAACTAAAATAAATAATCCCACCAAAACCACAAAAATCCCACTAGAATGTGAGAAGAACACAAAAGAAAATATAGACTGTAACAAACAAACTTAACTGAATTACAAATTAACATAACTATACTGAGAAGGTTGGGAAAATTAAAGACTAACCTCAGTTACTTTGCAAAACAGTATTTTGGCTGGATAAAAGGCACAAAAAAATTGTATACAAATTCGATATTTTAGTTAGCGAATGTTTCTCATGGGGTATAGACTGTTAATTCAAAAACTACTTTATGCATATAGTGAGGCTCAATAAATAAGTAAAATTATTGTAACGAAGGAGAACCAGATTTTTCACTGTTGGAGAAGGAAGTTACAAATAAGAAAAAAAGGAAGGCTAGAATAAATACTTGGAAATCTGAGGTATTGGTATGAACCTACTGCTTTTTAATTATATGTATTCAAATAGATATAGAAATAAATTCACTATGTGTATATCCATGCATTAGTGTATGTATGTGTCTAAGCTCTGACTGTGGAGAGGGTCTAGACCAATGACACTTCAGTAGTAATGATTATACTTAGCATCCAAATCTTGGCTTCTATATATCATTCTCCAGTACAAGGAACTAGGGCTCCTGGGAAAAGTGCTTGATTCCAAGACTAGGATATGGAAAATACAAGATAAACATAGAGCATCTTGTGGTGGCAGAAAGTAAAGAAATACTCAATAAAGAATGAGGGAGGGTCATGTTGAAAAACACTGAAGCCAGTCTGAAAGAACTCCCAATGCCCAAAGCTCAAACAATTTGAGCAGCAAAAAATAACACCAGTATTATATTATTCGTTAAAGAATAAAATAAAAATACACAGGTCCATACCGGTATTAATACATTCTTAAATAAATAAATGAAGGAGAAGGGACAGCTCTTCCTCACAGAAGAATTCCAACTAATAAATGGAGAAGGAATGAGAAAAACAAAATCATCAGAACACCGCAGCAGTAATTGCTGCAGGCAAGGACCATCAATCAATGCTAAAATTTGTGCTCTAATGTTTGAGGAGATACAAGATATTTGCACAATCTTAAAGTAACCTGCCTGCCAGGATATTAATTATAAAGGAAAAATAAAAGTACACCAATTCTATGGTATTCTTGCCAAAAATGTACCACCTCAATCTAATCATGAGAAAATATCAGAAAAATTTAAGGGATAGTGTACAAAATAACTGACCAGTGCTTTTCCTAAGTGTCAAGGTCATAATAAACAATGAAAAACTGAGCAACTGCCATAGATTTTACAGTTTTACAGTTCTTTATATTAAAGTCTTTTATCCACCTGGAAGTTATTCAAATTGTTGAAAAATCTACAATCATAGCAGATTTTAACATATCTCTTTTAGTAATTGATAGATTTTAAAAAGCTTAGGATTGCTTGTTGGAGCATTTTTGTAACAGCTGCTTTACCATCTTTTTCAGATAATTCCGACATCTGTGTTAACTTAGGGCATTGCCATCAATTGATTGCCTTTTCCCCAAATGAGATAATCTTCTCTAGAACTATTTTGCAGCTGGAATCAGCAAGTCTTGATGGTTTCGTTTGCATTTCATTAGACGTGTGTATGGAGCAAAGACAGAGAGAATGAGGAATGAGGTAGTAGGTAGCCTCAACAATTTCCAAGCTTTGGCTTGGAGGACTGGGTATATTTGGGCAGCATTTATTGAAATTGGATGTAAAAGGGAAGAATAGAAGATGATGAATTTGTTTCTCCATGTGCAGAGGTTGAGATGCTGTGACAACAATATAGAGGTACCTGACAAACCGTTAGGTATTTAAGTCTGAGCTCACAGAAGGCAGACCTAGAAATACAATTTGTAGATTGTTATTGCCTAAGTGGTGTTTAAAGTAATAAAAACAGCTTAGAATGGTTTATTAAAGAAACTGGGATAAGAGCAGAAGTATTTCAGAGAGTAGATGGAAAAGAGGGACTAAGAGACTATGAAGTAGGAGGAAACCCAGACAGCAGGACTGAAGTCTACGGAGGAGAAAAAGTTCAGGGAAGATGAAATTCTTAAAACACAGGAGCAGAAGTGTCAGAATAACCTAGTAAGATAATGACTGAAAAGAGTATTGGTCCCTGGTGACATTCATCAGTTTCAGTATCTTGGTGAAAACAGAAAAAGATCAATGGATTATGGAATGAAGAGCAAGGAAGTGGAGTTAATGAGTAAAGCCACTGTTTCTTGAATCTTGGTTTAAAAGGGAAGGAATGAATGAGGCATCTGGTGAAGAAAACATGTGATCCCTTGAGTTTGTCAAAAATACTTTTCAGTATTTTTGTAATCATTTGTATTTGTTTTATCTCATAGGACTAGAGCTTCATCTTGGAAAATGAGAATGGGCTGCAAATATTTTGGTAACTGAAGTCCAAATGATACAAAGCCACAAACAGATCTTTGAGAACCCCAATCCCCAGAGCTGCTGCTTGAAAACAAAAATCCTCCGTTAATTTTGACCTGCTGTTGGAGCCAGAGGTAGCTAAGGCTTTGTCAATTAAAAGCAACCCCTTGAATCTCCTCTCGTACACACTGCAGGACATGGGTACAAACTGCTTCCTTGTCTGAGCTCGTTAATCAAAAGTGGGCTGCTGCCCTCATCTCCTGCCACATCCCTGGTGGTCATCATACGCTTGGAAAACTAAAGAGACCTACAACCAAGCAGAGGCTTCCTTTCTCCCGCCACCTGTTAATAATAGCAACTGCACATTATGCTTGTTTTCCTGGTTTCTTTCTACTGCTGTTCTCAGTGTTGTGTATCATGTGGGTTCAGTCAGTTTCCTTGACCCTTCTAGGAGGAAGATGATTTGCGAAGGATACTCGATTATCAAAACTAGAACTGCAGTAGCACAACTCCAGATCTGCAAGAAACTGTATTCCAGCTCAGAATTCTTTCACGGCATATTTTTTGTTTTCCCGGGTTTAGAGAAGCTACAGCATCATTGGACAATTTTTTTTGCTCTGCAGAGTGTTAAATTCAACCTATGAAAGTCAAAAAGAAAATCTCTACTTTCTGTTTCATTCTTTTGTTTTAGCAAAAATAGTCTATTTATCTTGACTTAGTATGGTAGTGGGTGACAGAGTATTCTCAATACTGATTATTGCCTCCAAATCAACCATTGTCTATAAGGGAAAAAGAAAGGAAAGAACTGAACCTAGATTCTCAGTTTTACCTGATAACAACCGTCAGAGATAGTGTCATTGGACAGGAAGGGTGGGCATTATGATTCTGGTTTTGTCTAGCTCTCCACCCCCTCAACAGCCCAAAAGGGAGTCAGAGAAATGATTTACAAATTAAAAAAAAACAAACCAAAAAACAGAATGAATGAAAAAATGAAAGAATTTAGGTTATTTAATCTGTATAACAGAAATATAATGGGGAAAAAAATGACTTTGTCATTGATGGCCAACTCTTTCCAAAGTAAAGCTCACGTTACCTATAAGCTAAATGGCGGTGATCCCAAAGAAAGTCTGGGTATCGTGCATTTAATGTGTGGGGCAAATTCCTATGTACTGATAAATTATCCTGCACAGAGAAACAAATGTGCTGGCTGAACTAGATCATTAAAGGGTCCTATTTACTTCAAGACTTCATGCAGATTTTATGTAAACTTGGAGTGCATAGATGTAGCACTTGAAAAACTGACCATATTTCTTAAAAAGCAAAAAGCATTTGAGTGAATAAAATTGGGAGAAAAATATAGACTTGGGTTTAGTAATCTTGGACAATTTAAAGGAGTTGTTTATTTTTACCGTACACTTGAAAAGCTTAGCATTTGATTTTTTTAAAATGTACTAATTGACAAAAGGACTCAAGTAAAACATTGTTCATTCTCTGTAGATATTCTCTTGAGCCCATGTGACTATTTATAAATAGCCAGAATTTTTCAGAATGAAAATGATTATTTCTGCTTTTACTTCTTAGAAATAAAAGCAGTTTGAAAAAAGAGTGTTGGCATGTTGACTGCTTCTGAATTGAAGCAAATGTTTTGGAAATGACCGATTAAGAGATCTTATTTCTTCTTTATGATATTTGCAGAGATGGTCATAGGAAAACATCATCTCCTGAGAATGGACCTTACTAAATTAAAAACAATAATCAAAAACAATGTGTGACTAGAGAAGACAAGGCATATGATGAAGGAAACTGGGCAACTTCTTTTCATAAACCATCAAGAAACTAAGCAAGAAGATTTGAAGACTTGGGCTATTTTTAAATAAAACTATATTGAGAAAATAGTTTGGCTTATTTTAGGAAGCTAATAATTAATCAGTTGTTAGTCAGTGTGACACAGGTAGGGACCTTGGAACTGTGCTAAGAGTAATACATGCAATACCTCGTTTCATTTATTTATTCAATATGTATTTATTGAGCACCAAACTCTAGACACTGTCCTGGTAGCCCAGGATACCGTGACAGAAAGACAGGAAACTTACATTTGAGTTGGGAAGATATATAAGTAAAGGTAAACAAAGTATTTTCAGATGTTATTAAATTATGGAGGCAGTAAAGATTCATGTGATATGGAGTAACGTGAGAGAGGAGGTTACTATGCATAGGATGCTTGGGGAATGTCTTTTGGTGTAGGTGGCATTTGGATTGTGATTCAAAGGGTGCAAATGAGCCCACTGGTCAGAGAACCATGAGGAAGAACACTCCAGGCAAATGCCCTGAGTCAGGGAAGAATGCGATGTGTTCCAGGAACTGAAAGAAAGAAGGTTCCTCTTCCTCAGTGTGGCAGTTGGGGTAAATGGATGGAATGTGGCTGGAAAGTTAGGCAGAGGCCAGAATATGCAGTATTTGATGGATCACAGCAGGAAGTCTGAATTCTATGCAAAATACACTGGAAATCCTTTGACGATCTAGTTTCTGTTTTAAACAGTTGATTGTGGCTGCTGAGGAAAGGGTCACAGAAAAGTTAGGAGGCTATTGCAATGGCCCAGGTGAAAAATGGTGGTGGCTTTGGACTAGGATAGTAGCAATGGAAGAAAGAGAAGAAGACAGATTTGAGATGATATTAGAAGGAGAAGCATCAAGGTTCCCCTTCCTTCCTTCTCTGCTCTCCATTCTTCACTTCAGCAATATTCTTAACACCACAAGAACAGTTTGTACTAGACATTGGTGTGTGGTTCCTTTTCTTATAACGTCTTTATCTGGTTTTGGTATTAGGGTAATATTGGCCACACAGAATGGGTTAAGAACTGTTCCCTCTGTTTCTATTTTCTGAAAGGGATAAAGAATTGGTATAATTTTTTCCTTAAATATTTGATAAAATTCACCAGTGAACTCATCTGGGCTTGGTGCTTTTTGTTTTGGAAGTTTATTAATTATTGATTCAATTTCTGTAATAGATATAGGCCTGTTCAAATTATCAATCTTTCCATGTGTGAGTTTTAGCAGATTGCATCTTTCTGCGAATCGGTCCATTTCATCAACATTACCAGACTTGCGGGAATAGAGTTGTTCATGGTATTCCTTTATTATCATTGTATTACCTGTGGGATCTGCAATGATCATCTCTTTCACTTCTCATATTAGTAATTTGTGCCCTCTCTCTTTTGCCTGGTTAGCCTGGCTAGAGGCTTATCAATTTTATTGATACTAATAGTAGGAAAGAGTGCCCCTGAAAGTAGAATCCCTCACAATTATACTCCAATTGAAGACCACATCTTGTACCTCTCCTGTGCCAACCCCACTTTGTTTGTACCTCAGAATTTTTTTATCTTGATTTTGTTGTCTCAGTATAATACACCAGCCCTGCTCCCTATCCTGTTTTGTTATTTTAGCTTCATTTTTGAAACCAAGGAACAAAAGAGCTAGTTCTAGTCATACTTTTCCTCACAGATAATGTCTGTGACCTCATATTCCTCATATTCTGGATCTCTAGCAACATTGCTGTTCTTTCTGGTCGTGCAACACTCTGGTCCTTCAAGAGCGCCACAGTAGCACCTGGAAACTGCAACATGACCAAATCAGAGTGTTAAAATAATGACTATAGTTTGAGTACCTCTTCTTTAAAAAAATGATAAAATACATGCACATAACAGCCAAATCATAAACTATAATAGGAAAGAAGATAGATACTGTCACCCAGAAATAAGTGCTGTGAGTATTTTGAAGTGTACCTTCAAAGTGTGTCTTTATATCAGTCTATCCCTGTCTATCTTAATAAATTCATCTTTGAAATGACATAACGCAAACTGTTTCAACTCTCTAGCTCATTAAGAACATCTTTGCACATTAATACGTTCACCTCTACAACATAATCTTTAACAGCTGTAGAACATCCCATTGTATGACTGAACCACAATTTAATCAATCAATGCAGTGTAGTTGGATGTTTAAGTTGTTTTTAATTTTTCATAATTCCAAACAGTATGTGATTAACACCTTCTAGCTGAATCTTCTTATACTTCCTTAGTTATTTCCTTGGAAATTATTCGTAGAAGAGAGTTTTGGGTCAATATTTGAGTCTTTTGATACATAACCTCCAGAAAGGTTATATCAATATACACTCCCACAAGCAATGAATGAGAATCTCCTTACAGGATTATGTGCTTCATCTGAGGAAAGGCAACATACCAAGCTTTGGTAACGAGTGTGTGTTAGAGGTAAGAGTGTGTAAATTGCATACTGATTCATGAACATGTAAACAATCTTTTTCTAGATGGAAAATTATAGAGACTTTTGGTTTTTCTGCCTTGCTTGGTAGTCTCTTCATGGCTCCTGTATTCATAGGCTTTATAAATAGCTTTA